CATGCCAGGAAACTGTTAAATGGAACACAGCAGCGAAGTGGTGTAAGGATGCTGCTCTTAAGCCCCAAGTTGTGTAGGTTTAGATGCTGCCAGTGTATAAAACTATTCTTGAAGATAAATACAGCCTTATAGTAACTGAAACCTGATTTGTCATTGGGCGCCTCCTCACCCAGCAGTGCAGAGCGAGAGCTCTTGCTGGTCCCGAGCAGTAGTACCTGCCTCAGTTTCCCTCTTTCCTAGCACACAGGGTTGGTCCTCTTCCATAGCCTCCAACTTTAGAGGTGCCGTTGGAGCAGTTTGATGGAGCTGCATCCTGAACTCTTCTCATAGGATCTCAATGAAAAAAATGTGCGGATGAGCTCTCAACCTGGGTCACTTTTCCCCTCTGTTGGCTGTACAGGCCCAGAAGGGGTTGTGTTGCTGGGGATGGAGTGACCTGTAGCTCGTAGGAACCTCTTTATAAGTTTGTCACCAGAGGAGTTGCATTACTGAGCCATGCCCTTGCTGTTAGCAGCAGGAATGACGCACAGATTAAACTATTTTTTCTTTCAGTAACTTCTAAAACAGCCAGTTTCATTTTGTAGAGCTCTTGAGTAGAGATGGTGACTCAACTATGTAGGTAGGTCACTGTTGAGGGAGGTCATGATCAAGTCTTGAGGTATCTCGTAAAGCTCCACGGTAAATGTAAATATGCTTTATGGATATCTCATCCAAGAAATGTGAAAAGTGCATGAGCGTATCAATCATGTAAGGGATTGGAAGTACAGCTTGCCACTTACAGTGGTTGGGATGAATGGGAGTAGCACCAGGAAATGCACATCCGGTAGCTCACAGTATTCCTTCCTATCTTTTGAGCCTAGTTTACTAACCAATTACTTACACCTGAACACCCCCATACTTACCGCCTTTGCTTTTGTACTGGCTGGGGTGGAGATGTTGAGGATGTTGCGGTTTTCCCTTTATTCACTGTCTGAGTTTGATGTGTTCACTCACAGTTGACTTCTGCAAATTATTTGACCTTCATCTTGCCTTGAAGTGGCCGTGCTGTCAAGACTGAAAGATAATTTGGAGTTGCAGTTGCACATTTGGTGTTTTGTCAATGGTGGCACAGTCCTGCCAAGCTGTGTCCGGGGGCTACCTGGGTGCTTTTAGCTTTTCCTGCTGGCAACAGATTGACTTAAGGGTATTAATGTATTTCCCTTTGGATGCTAGGGTTGCTAAAGCAGGCAAGTCTTAACAATGCATTCTGTATGTCCTGTTCATCTCTTGTTCTTTTTGTACAAGACCATAATGTTTTTTCTATGCGTAACACTTGAGTTTCCCATTTGAATAAGATTTTTTTTTTAACTTATTTTTTAAAATAAGGTTTAAATGCCAAAATAAGCTGGCATAGTGCTTGTTTGTCACGAAAAGCTATAGAAAGCTTGTTAGTTAGCATACTTTAACAGAGATAACTTTGTTAGGAGTGATAGCAAGACATATTTCTGCTTCCAGATCTGTGCTGTTTAAGCTATGTGATTACGGGATAATAGAGCTTTTAATGGGGAATGAGTTACAACTTGAATCAGAAAAAATGCTGCCATTACCTAATATATAAGCACATCTAAAAATATTGACTTAGTCTTCAATTTTTTAAGTTGCTGTTCTTATGAATAACTTTGTCCAACTTTCTTTTTTTTGGGGGTGGGGATAGTGCCAGAACAAACAAAGACAAGTGTAAGCCAGCCTCAGCCTGTCACCTCTAACGGCACTTCCACAGTAACCAGCACTAATAATAATGCCAAGCGGGCCACAGCCAACAGTCAGCAGCAGCAGACCTTGCCTCGATACCCTCCTCGTGAAGTACCACCGCGATTTCGACACCAGGAACAGAAACAGCTTCTGAAACGAGGTCAGCAGTTACCAGTTATAGCTGCAAACCTGGGATCTACTCCTAAAGTATTAAACGGCCAGTCAGGAGGCAGCACTGTCACAAATAAACAGCCAGTGACCAACGGAGAAGTGCCGAACAGCAGCAAAAAACAGCCAGGTGAGGGGCAGGTACCTTGTTTTCCTTTAACTAAAATCAAATAGTTTAAATTCAATTATCAGTGAAATATTTGAGTTAATATTATTTAAACTTTAAATGTAAGCTGTAGCGTGATGAGTTATCTTCCTGTATTGTAGCTTAATATTACAGGATGGTTTCAGCCATCTTTGTGCAAGTTTCATACTGAAACTTAAGACATGTTAGTAACTCATTGTTGCCAGTGGTGTACAACAGACATGTCTGTTTCTGAACAGATGTTGAAGCCAGTATGACCACTGCTATGTCCTGAATTTCCAGTCTTTATCCTAATAATTGATCCAAGCATGATCATGGTACAAAGCATCTTTTTTGCATCCAACTTTAATACACAGTTCTCACAGGGAAGGGTCTTTCAGACAGTTCCCAGAGCATTCTGAACAGCATCTCAGGACTTTTTTTTTTTCTTCTTTATATCTAGAAATATAGATAGGGTACAACTTATTTAAAATACAAGAATTGCTTTTTGTTGTCAAAGGGTTTTCCTTTGTTCATCTACCTGAAGCTAGGTTGTCTTACAAAAGGGATCAATCTTTACCTTTAATAGTATTTCCATATAGTTATCCTTGATTATTTTGGCTTGTTAGGCATTCTCCTCAAATACCCTTTTAAGAGTAGTAAACTTAACTGTTACATGTGCAGAACTTGCCAGTCAGTGAATGTACTAGCATGCAGTTCAGCACATTTTTTGGGACAATAAGGGCAGTCTATTTTTGGCTGGAAAAAGTAACTTTTTTTTTGTGGGGACCTAGATTTTCAAAGGGATTTGGTATTAATGCATGCTAACAATATGTTGGACAAATACTTTCTTATTTTTATACTTGTATTTATTTTTTGATGTGCACATAGCAGTGATGTGCACTATCCCACAAGTAGCTTCTTCTGAAACTTTACTGAATTCCCAGTGTTTCTCAAAATCAGTGTTTTATACACTGCAAAGGATGTGACTCCTAGTCCCTTCGGTTACAAAAAAGATTTCTGGAAAATAGCCTTGATATTTCAAGTCTTAGTTAAATTTTGACCTGTTCTGATTACTGAATCTTGAAGAAGCAGTATTTAAAATGAAAGTAAACAATCAAAACATTGGAAGCAGTTTATCCATGTGCCCCTTGAGGAATGTTTCCGTAATTACTTTCCAGTATTATTTTTGTAACGTACTGATAGAACTCTTTACCATTCCAAGAAGTGATTTTTTTAAGCAGTTTTTTTTTTTTTAATTTCATCTGTATATTTTTGTTGCTGTCTATAGTCAAGTTTAAAGTAACTGTTCATATAATTGCTTGCTTCTGAGATGAAACTTTTTTTCCAGTGTATATCCTCTGCTGGTCAAATTGTATGGTAGCAAGTAGTGATTTAAGTAAAAATTCACATGTAAACTAAGCTAAGTAGTATTACTCTTTATACAACCTATTAAACCTCCTAACTGTATCCAGAGGGTTTTTTTGAGTATACTGTCCTTTTTTCACTTTTTGTGAACGCCAGCCCAATATTGCATTAGTTGGGTTCCCATTTGTGTATTGCATTCTTCCCGGTTTTGTTCAATTTTTCTTGATTTTATTCTGCTGTGGCTGGGCAACCTTTAGGCTGGGAGATGCCAGTGTCTCCCTGTGTGGTGCTGCCACAGTTCTTTACTGGGAGTAGTTCTGAATGGTACGTTAATTATTTGGATAATATGTCTACGCGTCCAACTGGTAACGAAAAGGTTCTGAGAGCCTTTATGGGAGAGAAAGGTTGGCCAAATCACTTTCCATCTTAAGAAAATGTTTGTATTGTCTGTAGCATCCTGTCAGTCACTGCATTGTCAGGTCTCTGGTAACTGTGTGCTGTGCTCAGGGTGTTCCTGTGTGTCTGAGGTAGACTGGTCGGAATGGACAAGTGGGGTTAGGAGGCCAGGGTCTCGTTTCTTGGTGCAGTGTATCTGTAGGCTCGAAAGGTCTTTCCTCTTGTATAACCAAGAATGATGTCTGGTTTGGATGTTTTGTCATGTTCTTTGAGAAATGTAGGTAAGGTGATACTGTAAAGGCAAATAAATTTTCAGTGCTGGATTTTTCCAATGGTTTCAAAATCTTGTCTGATGAATTGCCTGTGAGGTCATGTGGAGGTGGCCATAGTCCAGCAGCATGCGAAAGTGACTTAATGTCTTCTGACACCTTTGTATCTGAAAGGAAATACTACTGTTATTGGCCTGTTTCAGTCTTACTTGCTCTTCCTAGTTCTTCTTTTAGCCTCCAATGGCAACTTCTAGGTACTCTTCCTGTTGTTATCTCTGAAATGAAAAATCTCATGAAATTTGACATATCTGTAGATCCTTTCCTATTGAAAGAGCATCCATGTACAGGCCATTTGGGTTAACAAATTTTATACCTTAACGGAATATCTTTGAAGATTAAGTTCTTGACTTTTTTTTTTTTAAGTATTTAATGGATGTTGGGATTGATCTGTATTTTAGGGCTAAACGAAAAACTGTAGCTTGAAATGTTGAAGTCAAAATTGCTGGAATTGATAATGGCTCCGGTTGTTCTATCTGTCGTTCCCTGACAGACCCCAGGGTAGGATCTCTTCCCAGTTCCAACTGCGATTATAACTGTTTGGTAGGTGCTTTGTAAAAGCCAGGAAACACGAGTACTGCTAAATTTAAAGTCTTCCTGTGGCCCTGGCCACACTAAGTTTTTAAATCTTTGGTATTGGAGAATTTTTTTTAGTTATATCAATGGGGAAAAAAAATCTCTTAATTTGTGTAGACAATCTTCTTCTGTTTTGAAAATTAAACTGCTTTGTTTAGAAGTAAAGCTTAAGAAGGGATAGTCCTGTGGGTTGGTTTTTTTCCTGCTGTTTGTAGGACATTTGGCATATCTTCTTAATAAAGACACATAAGTGAAGCTCATGCCATGTAGCACTTCTGAAACAGATACAGTCTTGTACTGAGATGGTTATTTTAAGAAATCTACATAAGCTACATAAGTAGCTCTTTATCAGAACATTTTCATACCCAATTCGGTTGTTTGCTTTACTGAAACTTTCTCCCATGTGTAAACTTCACATGAAAGGAAGGTCTTGAGTGCTGCCTTGGTGTGTTTGTTTGCGTCTGTGCTTTGTAACACAGCAGAATAGCCAGGTGGTTATTCCACAATGAAATGATTTATATAGTGAACTAAAATATTTGCCAGCAGTAATTGCTTACAACTGTGGGACAGAACAAAACAGGAGAGCACCATCAGGTTCCTGGCATTAGTCCAGTTACTTGGATTCTTCCTCTTGATTCGAGTGGGTCTCGCTTTATCTTTGTGCATCTCGCAGCAGAGCTGCAAAATGATGTTACAGCCAGAGCCTTTGGAAACAAAAGACTCTTCCTGTAACTTAAGGAGATACTCTTTTTTTCAGTTATTGTAGGAGTCAGGGATGAAGTGAGCAGTTGGGATTTGCAGTTAGTAGCGATGGAGGCTGACTTAATTTAGGAAACGTTGCCTTAAATGTAGCAGTTGTGGTCTCCAACTGTAAAATTTGTGAATTTGAAACATTAACTTTGATTTCATACGCTGCCAATAGGACACTTAGGAGGAAGAAGCTATCAAAGAGTGGTAAATAAAAGTTTGTTAAGCACATCCTTAGGTTAAATCAGAGTTGGACTGTACTTAGTTACTTCTGTTTGCTAAGTCACATAGCAAAATAATGGCTTTCAGGTAGAGAAAGCATGCTGTTCAAAGAAGTGGTATGAAACTTTGCTTAAGTTTCAGGACTGACCTCTGAAATTCTAAGTTAGTACAGTCAAATATTAACTGGTTTTGGTTTCAATGACTATAAATTCTTCCTCTTAACCAATCTTAAATTGGTTAATTAAATGCAAAATGTGTAAAAACTAACTAGTAGTGGAAATGTTTAATAAAAGCAGCAAAATTGCTAATAATTAAATGCTACATGTAGAAAGCTGGATTTGCTATCTCTTCCCTGAGGTATGCTCAGTGCTGTGGGTGAGGCAGCTCAGAACTCGCTTGTTGCTAGCAGGGTCAGTGAGATTGAGATGGCTCTTTAGGGAAACCTTTCCTAAAAAAGGGGTGCTAATAAATGGTTTCAAAGTAATGAGTGTTTGGGGGACTGTTCTCAAAGGGCTAGTTTACTTAAATAACACTTCTGTACTTTTCTTGCCTTTTTTTTTTCCTATAGGCATGCCTCCCATTCGGGACTTGGTGAGCCACTCCCCTAACCAGTCAGGTTAGCTATTTAAATCTCGCCTTTTTTTCGCACTACGTGTTTGTAGTAGTTACGTGTTCCGCACAATTTTGTCTTGATTTTTTAAAATTTTTTTTTATTCTTATGGTTTTCAATAGCATGTGCCATGTGAATGACTGACTTAAGTATACTTTCTCTGTGCCATTATGTAATACATTTGGTTAAACATTTTTAATTTTCTAAAATATATCAGAATTCATACCAAAAATATGTTTCAGCTGTGGGGCACCTTAGCTTTAAAATACTAAGTGTCTTTTTTTATTTTATTTAACCTTTATGCTTACATGTTAAATTGCCTCGTTGTGGTATTAAATTGAATAATCTGTGCAAGCCTGTGCTTTATATCAGAGACATTTCACAGCACTGTGGAGGAAACCACGTCTGGGGACCTTTCTGTTTTGAATGCTGAGTTTATGCTGGGGTAGCATGTATGTGGGGCCTACAGCTATGTGTGTTGTCTCCTGGATATGATGTGAAGAACGCTTGCTGTTTATTTTTAAGTTCTGTTTTGGAGTGAATGTGCTGTGTGAAGGCAGTAACGCAGATAATGCTGTGGGATGGTTTGTACTGGCTCTGTTTCTGGCTGTGCCATGTACCTGTCAGGCTACTGTGGGCGCAGTGCTTAGGAGAACGTTTCATGTTGCATCTCTTCTGTTTACCTTGAAGATTGCTCCCAAAAGGATGATGTTAATCCTCCTCTCCTCTCTTTCCTTGTGTTGAATTTGACCACTTAGTCAGTGCAGCCTCTTCATGTGATGGAAAACTAACCCAAGGGTTCCTCTTTTCCCCGTGGCTCAGCGAGCTGTCTTGGCTCACGGCAGTGCTGCAGGGGTGTTCGATCTGGCACAAGTCAGGGCCAGAGCCCCTGCTGGGAGAGAGAGTGTGCAGGATGGTCCCTTCTAGGAGAGCCTCCAGTTGTGCTGGGTTAGGCACAGAGGGACACTGAATCCTTGTCCTGGCAGCTTTCCTGTCCTGCATTAACAGTTAGGAAACTATTGCAGCTACAGGTAAACAGCTACATCTGGTAATTCTTGGGTTGCAGTACTTTAAGACGACACAAGCAGACTTCAAGACCTTTTTCTCTACCACAGAGAAACAGATACGTGATGTTAACAGACAGGTTTTGTTTGTTTGTTTTGTCACTTTATTATAAAGGTGCTCTTTAGCTTGTTTACTAAAAGCTAAAAAGCTTGTTTATTAAAATGCATTTTTTATAAGGACTGAGGGTACAATAATTGGTAAGGCATAGTATTGACAGTCTGTGGGTACCAGTATGTCCTGGAACTGGAAAAGGAGACAGAGGGAGTAAGATTCAGATATTTCTTAATTTACACTTCTCTGTCCAACTGTTGATTTTAGACCATGTGATGGTACTTCAAAACAAACAACTTTAGAAAATACATACAATTTCCTGCAAACATATCCTGCAGGGGTAACTCATAGCTAGAAAGCATTAAATTATTAAATTACAAATTATGGAAAAAAAAAAAAAAACTTAGATTATGGAATTTTAAGAAACTCTGGTTTGTGTAAATTGTTTTTTGTCCAGGATTTAAGCAGCAAAAGTTCAGTTGCAGCTTCTAAATAGTTTTGGTGAGAAAACCAAGAGTAGGACTATAGGCTGTTACTGGCTGGTTTTGCTGTGCACTAAATGTGTTGTCAACTGTAATTTTTCCATTTTGAGGGGTTTTTTGTGGTATCTGCCAGATACAAAAAATCAGAGATAGTACTTTGCTTATTCAGTATTTGTATACTTAATGTCAGAAGTTTGTGGGCTGTGGAGGTTCAGATAGATAGGAATATTTCAGCTCATACTAGAAATCACTAACATGCTTTTGTGTCCAGGAAAATGATTGTTAGGGTAGTTTTGTATGTAATAGGATACAATTCTGGATGACTGGAAATTAATCACTGTATGCCATTTGTGTATTGGCTCGTTACAAACTGTGTATCACATCTAAATGAGTATAAAAGAATTTTAATAACTACAAGCTTTCTTTTCATGTATTCTATTGTTGTGCAAATTACGGTTTCTTTGCCATTTCACTCTGGCTTGTAGTCGTAACCTGTATCTCTTTCTCCACACAGAATTCAGGCTGTTTGCCACCTGTATACTTTTGTGTGGTTTTTAAAACTGATCATGTTATTGGGATAAAGTTTATGATCAAGATTTTGTTTTGTTAGGGGAGCTTTTGATGCTGTTGATTCTCTCGTTCATGAGAGTGCAGACAACTCTTAACAATTCTTAACACACACCCATACACATACTATTCCCTGTTCCAAATTGCTGTGCCAGCATCCTTGTTTCTCCTGTAGGAAGTTCCTGCATCAAGCTTAACTGATTGCTTTGACTGTCTTGAGCTTCCATCGTCCTGGATGGTGGAGGAGCAGTGGCTGATCCCTGCTCCGTGCTGCTCTAGGCTACGTACTCTTGGAGGCAGGGTCATTGGCTAGATTCTTTTTCTCTGTAGGATGAATAATACTGATATTGATTAAAAATTAATGAAAAATACACCAGAAGTTTTTGTGCATCAGTTTCAAACTCAGTAAATTGTCCATGGTAACTCGTTCCTTCCTGTCTCTTGTAGATCATCAAGATCACAAATTCAAATAATGTAGTATTTAAAATTTGCTACTCTTTAAAAATGTGGGATTTCTGCTCGTCATGGTGTTCCCAAATTCCTTTTGCGAGATGGAAGCACTGAAACAAGGTCTCTTTTTAAATCTACATCAACCGTGCTTAAATTCAAATAATGTAGTATTTAAAATTTGTTACTCTTTAAAAATGTGGGATTTCTGCTCGTCATGGTGTTCCCAAATTCCTTTTGCGAGATGGAAGCACTGAAACAAGGTCTCTTTTTAAATCTACATCAACCGTGCTTCTCTTCAGATTGGTCAGTCATGCTTACACAATAAACCACATCAACACTTGTTGCGGTTCAGTTGGAGCACTAAGAACAGGCTCCTGCCAAATGATCCCTGTGTTTGAGAGCTGAGCTACTGCCAAAAGTTGTATCTTATGGATATTTTAACTTCTAAGTAGGTGGCAATTTTGACTAACATTTTTAAAAGAGTAGATGCAACTCAGTTCTTGTTAGTGAGCTGTAGGTGTAGGGGTTTGGTGGGTGTCAGGATTTGGGGCTTCAGTGCAGAATTGGCACTCCTTGCAGCAGAAGGGGGAAGCTGGTGAGACTGGCAGCTTCCTTTCAGACTTCACATTTAACATGTATTTCTTGGAAACACAAGAAGCTTACAAATTAGTGTTATGTTTTAAAAGTAGTGAGTCCATGAATGTTCTTTAAACAGCTTTTGAGAAAAATAAGGATTGATAATTGTAGCATTTTGTTACATTCTGTTGACATGAACAGGTACAGTTTCATGAAGGTAATCAAGCAAAGCACCTTTTTCTAGTCAGACATAAAGCGTGTGCTGTAAGAATCCATTAAGAATCAGTAGGAGCTAGAAAACTTTTTTCTCTTAGGTACATACATTTTTGAATATTCTAAGTAAAGGCAAAAAAGGGAACATTACAAAGTAAAATTGACAGTTTATTTCTTTAAAAACCTGATGTTTTAATGGGCAGAGAAGCATACTTTGCTATGTATACAGCAATTGAGCATACCACTAGTAAGGTCATTCTTTCAGTTCAGGCAAATACTAAGCAAAAAAACTTCACTGACATTTTGTACTTGTGTTCTGTTGCCAACTTCATTACTATTTTTCACATGCCTCTCATAGTTTCATCTTCTGGTGCACCTGTGTATTTTTTATTTAACAGTTTGTTGGGGGAGAGGTCTCTGCACTGAAGTTTTACACATACAAGATGAAAACTGGTGGCACTTACTTTGTAGCAAATACTCCATGGTGCATGTATTTAACCATGAAAAGTTTGTAAGTGAATTAGGAAGTGTGTCTTCTTGATTCCCAGACACGATCAGCTTGCTTATTGAAAAAGAAACAGTAGTTCTTATATAAATGAAAATGAGAAGAATTGGTACAGCTACTGCATTTAATCTGTACTTCTGCAGGAGCAGAACTTTACATTGGTCTTGGGATTTTTTTCTGTCCAATCTGTTGTTGTATAAAAGAAAATATCTTAACTTGTACTTAAGAAATCTTACATAATGTCTTTTAATGGAGACGTGTGTGTGTTTCTCTGGCTGTTGCCACATAGCAATTGGTACTACTACGTCAGTTTAATATCCTGTTTAGATTTCTTTGATTTTATATAGCATTTTAGTTTTTAACGTGTATGTTTTTACAAAATATTTTGGATGTGGTGATTTTTTTTAAAACCTATTTCTCTGGAAGAAAACCCCTGTACCTTTAGGAGTGCTTCTTCCTGCTTTTTGTGAGAGTGCAACTTTGTGTGCTGGAGAGCAGTGTTCTAGGTTACGTGTGTGGCAGCGTTCTGAACAACTGTACTTGGAAGCTTTCTCTGTCATCTTCAGTGACTGTTGTGTTAAAATAAGCAAAATAATTCTTGGCTTAGTATCTTTGTACATTTTTTCCCTCTTCTGCTTAATGAAGTAATAGTACTAAATTTATAATAATGCTCTTGGGCTTTCCTCCTTCTCTTTAGATCTGAACCACAGTGGTCTAGGATCCCATTATGAAAATTCTCACTGGGGACCAGTCTCTTCAAATAGTGACTCCAGCACAAACTGGGATAAAGTTATTGTAGACGGCTCTGACAAAGAAGCATGGCCATCAATCACTGGCAGTGACCCAGAGCTGACATCAGAATGTATGGACACTGACTCTGCCTCTAGCTCTGGGTCAGAGAGAAACCTCGTTATAATGGCTTCAGGGAGCACAGGTGGTGAAAATGATGGCATTCGAAATGGCATTGGACATGGTTCTCAAAATAAGTTTGTGGTTGGTAGCAACAGCAATAATGTGGGCAATGGAAGTATTAATGGGCCATGGGGTTTATCCCATGGAACCATAATAAGCACATGTCAAGTTTCTGTGGATGCTCCTGACAGCAAATCTGAAAGTAGCAACAATAGAATGAATGCTTGGGGCACCATAAACTCTTCATCAAATGGAGGGTTAAATCCAAGCACTTTGAATTCAAATGGCAACCATGGTGCCTGGCCTGTATTGGAGAACAATGGACATGCCCTGAAAGGGTCTATAGGGAGTGGTAATCCTGGCACAAGTATTCAGTGCAGTACCATAGGTCAGATATCTAATAGTCAGAGTATTAACTCTAAAGTGGGTGGTTCAGCCCATGGTTCCTGGGGAAGCCTTCAGGAAAATTGTGATTCTGAAGTAAATGGTACAAGGAAGGTTTCGTTCAGTGGGCAACCTCAAAACCTTAACACTGAAATGAATGGACCAAATAACACTACTAACTTTATGACCTCTAGTTTACCAAACTCTGCTGGTTCAGTGCAGATTAACGAACTGCCTAATAATACAGGGCATGGGGCCTGGCGTGTGAGCACAATGAATCATTCTCAGATTCAGGCCTCTCCAGTTACAAATGGCACTTCCATTTCTCATCTTAGCAATGGTGAGACGAAAAATGGTGGATCTTATGGTACTACATGGGGTGCCTATGGTTCTAATTACTCTGGAGACAAATGTTCAGGCCCAAACAGCCAAGCTAATGGTGACACTGTGAATGCAACTCTAATGCAGCCAGGCATTAGCGGGCCTGGCAGCACTAACTTTCAAATCAATGGGAATAAAGGAGGAGGGGTGTGGGAGGCAGGGACAGTCAACTCCCAGAATATGCCGTGGGGAAGTGGAAATGGTGCAAGTGCTGGCGGGAGTAGAAGAGGATGGGGCAACCCTGCACAAAACACTGGCACTAACATTTCAAACGGGGAGTGGAGTAAACTGCCTAGTAATCAGCATTCCAATGAAAGTATGAATGGAAACAGCAGGAAGTTTACGAATGGATGGAAATCTACTGAGGAGGATGACCTTAACAGCCAGAGTTCTGCTGCTTCTCAGATAACTGAGCAGAACAGCGCATGGGCCAAAACAGGTACGGGGGACAGCGAAGGTAGTTCGGAGAGCACTGGATGCCACGAAGATAGAGTAACTACGGAAGGACAGAATCGAGAAAGAAGGAAAGTTGACCAGCATGCATTACTCCAAAGTATTGTGAACAGAACTGACTTAGATCCACGTGTCCTTTCCAACTCTGGTTGGGGACAGACTCCAATCAAACAGAACACTGCCTGGGATACCGAAACATCACCAAGGGGTGAAAGAAAAACTGACAATGGGACAGAGGCCTGGGGAGGCTCTGTGACACAGACTTCCAGCTCAGGGGGGTGTGTGGATAGACCTAGCCCTAATAATAATGATACCTCATCTGTATCAGGGTGGGGAGATCCAAAGTCTGCTACAAGGTGGGGAGACTCCAAAGGGTCAAACAGCCAAGGGGGGTGGGAAGAAGATTCTGCTGCTACAGTAATGGTCAAGAGCAATCAATCATGGGGAAGTGGCAAAGAGGAAAAGTCATCTTGGAATGACTCACAGAAGATCAAACAGGGATGGGTAGATGGACAAAAGGCCAACCAGGGTTGGGCAGTTTCTGCCAGTGATAGCTGGGGCGAAAATTCAAGAAGTAACCATTGGGGTGAGGCTAAGAAATCCAGTTCAGGAGGTAGCGACAGTGACAGATCAGTATCTGGTTGGAATGAGCCAGGTAAATCAAATTCTGTTACTTGGGGAGGTAATAATACAAACCCCAATAATTCTTCGGGATGGGATGAGCCTGCAAAGTCTAATCAGAGCCAGGGCTGGGGAGACCCTCCTAAATCCAATCAGCCTCAAGGTTGGGGTGATTCGTCAAAGCCAATCAATTCTCCAGAATGGAACAAACAAGATGTTGGCTCTTGGGGAGCACCATCTGCCACAAACAAACCCCCAGGGTCAGGCTGGCTGGGCGGACCAATGCCGGCACCAGCAAAGGAGGAAGAACCCACTGGCTGGGAGGAGCCATCCCCTGAATCAATACGCCGTAAAATGGAAATTGATGATGGAACTTCTGCTTGGGGTGATCCAAGCAAATACAACTACAAAAATGTGAATATGTGGAATAAAAATGTCCCAAACAGTAGCAGCAGTTCAGACCAGCAAGCACAGGTACATCAGCAGCTACTGTCTTCAAGTGCCATGTCTAGCAAGGAGAGCAGTTCGGGTTCTGGTAAGACTTGGTTTTACACAAATTTGAGTTTTCTGTTAATTGTAAAACAATTCTTTTGTTCTTGCTTTATATACAGTATTTTCGTTTCAAAGCAAATAGTGGAAGGTGCCAACAAAGTACTGCTTTTATTTATAAAAAAACAAGTAACGGCAATGCTTATAGGAGTTTGATATTTTTATACAGATCGGAAGATCTGTTCTAGGTTTAAATAGCTTGAGTAATAGAAGACTAGACAGCTCTACTTGAATTCTGGGGTGTGGGAACACAGAGAAAATACGTTATTTGATTCTGAAACAGTTAAAACTTAGTGTTGCCAAAGAGCCCCAAAAAAAAGCATTGAGCTGCTACAAGACCAAATGAAGGGTGATGGTTTTATATGGACTCAGGATCAGACCTTCTGATCTTGTAGTTTTGGGAGCAGTGAATAATGATACTTGCAGACGAGCTTGTGTGGTGTTTATGAAGTATTTTGTGCTCTTTTTTTAAGTACAAAGATGACTAGCTTAAATACAATGAGCAGCTCTTAGGAACTTAATATCTTAGGAATTTCTGTTATCAAAATGTAATTCTTTACATATAAAATCTGTATTTTTGTGAGGTTTTTTTAATGAAACGGCTTACAGTTGTAGTAGTTACCTTCATACAAAATGTAAATATGTACTAATATGCTTTTTATTGTATGTTATAGATCTAGAAAAGGCAAAACACTTGAGTCTCTTTAGATAGCTTTTTTTAATTCTGTTTAAAAACATGCCAATAACTCATACTGCTTTAAAAAGGTTGGGGAGAGCCTTCTACTCCAGCCACTACTGTAGATAATGGAACTTCAGCGTGGGGTAAACCCATGGATACTGGTACTAGCTGGGGAGAACCCATCAGCGATGCAGCAGGCACCTCTGGCTGGGGAAATGCTTCTCTTGGTCAACAGGCTTCAAATAAACCTGGTGAGTGCTTTCCGTGTCATCTTTGAATAAAGGTATTTGAGGACGATGAACTGCCTTTATAGAAGCTTTACGTTTTTGAGGGCTTTTTTATCTTGAAGTAAACATAAAGCTACTTTCTGTTAAGGGAAGTCAGTTGCTACTAAAATGTTAATATGTTGGATTTTTTTTATTTTTTTTTCACAACCAGGGCCTAAATCTATGCAAGATAGTTGGTGTGGAGATGATATGCCATTGACAGGCAGTCGTCAGACCAGCTGGGAGGAAGAGGAGGATGTAGAGATTGGAATGTGGAACAGCAGTTCTTCACAAGAAGCTAACCCATCTTTAAATTGGCCACCATATATGAAAAAAATGCCCACAAAGGTAATGAGGAGGTTGAGTCAAGGGTTTTGCACTGTTCTCATTTCTGAAAGCTAAGTCAGAACAGATTGCTGCCCTGACTGCAGTACCATTAAAGTTTAATCTTCATTCATAGCATTTTATGATGTAATTTAAGCAGTAGGTGGTAAATATCTTCTGAGTATCACAGAAATTCCTTTGTATTTTTAAGGGAATAATGAAAGGTGGAAATAAACAAGATGAAACATGGATCAATCCATTCATTAAGCAATTCACAAATCTCAGTTTTTCAGTAAGTATTTACCTTTGCTTGGCTTTACTGCCTTCTTTGAGCACTAGTTATAATGCACAAAGATTAAAATGCTTAATTACCCCGTGTTCATTTTCATGGTATTTTTCTTTTTACCGCCGTTTGTCTCCCCTATGGCACCCATCCCTTTTCTTTGCATCATCATTACAAAAAGACCTATTTATTGATGAAAAGTGTTTCCGTAAACACCCAGGTATTCATCCGGTAGTCTCTTGTTTTACTTAATGTTACATATATGTTTTGGTGAAGATACCTGGTTTGAATCAGGTAACAACTGAAAGGAGAAAATGCTTTAAAATAGCATCTGATTTGTCTTGATTTTTTTTTTCTTGCAGGTTTGAGTTGAAATAGTATATATGAATCTCTTTGGTTTAGCTGTTAAAATATTATTATTAAATAATTATGATTCATTTTATTACTTCAGAGAGAATCACCAGAAGAAACCATACAGAGCAATAAGATGGACATGTCTGGAGGTGAGGAGAACCTAGCTGAGCTTTATTACTTTCCTTTCCAATCTCTCTCTTTTTTAAATCTA